AGCGTTAAACGCCCCAAGAAGAGCCCGGCGAAGAGGGGACACGAGGGGCAGCTCTCCCCGCACCCCGCTGCCCCGTCCCCGCCCCGCGCCCCGCTCACCAGCCGCCTCGGGCGCCAGGCCGTGGCCGGAGCAGGCGGCGCCGCGGGCCGCGCTGCGCGGCGCCCACAGCGCCCACAGCGCCCACAGCACGGGCAGCAGGCTGCTCGCGCCCAGCACCTTCATGCCGGCCCCCGCGGCGCCTTCCTGCCGCTCCTCGGGCAGCGCCCGGCCGCCCTCCTCCCCTCYGCTTTCCTGCTCGCCCGCGGTTAGTTCTCGTTACACAGAGGCTTCCCCTCCTCGGGGTTTCTTTCGCATCAACCTGATTTTAACTCTTGCATTTGATCCACAGAATAACGGGGAGCTTGGAAGGGGCCTCGGGGAGCAGCTAGTCCAAGAGCACCTAGGTCGGGCTGTCTAGGAGGGAAACAAGCCGGTTTGGAGTGTCTCCAAGCTTGGAGACTCCGCACCCACCCTGGGAAACTTGCTCTGGTGCTCAGAGGGTGCCCTCACAGTAAAGCTTGTGCTATATTCACACAGAACCTCCTTTGGTTTCATGTCAATCACACGCACCCAGCGCTGACACAGGCAGAAASCATGGTGAGCAAATCCCAAAATATTTATATAAAAAAAACCCACTACCACCAACAACGACAAAATGAAATGCAGAGACTGAACAGACTCTGGAGAGTCTGAACAGACTGAAACCTGTGGAAGGTTTCAGAAAGACGGCAACAGAGTCTGGGGATGTTGGAGTATCTCCGGGTGTGATCCTGCAGCTCCCCACCCCACAGGCGCATTCCCAAATCCACAGGATATCTTTGCTATGGAGAGATCAGATTCCTAGAGAAACGGCTTTGGCTGCGCCTCTTCAGTGCAGTGCCTTGTGCACAAAAAAACAGTGTTAAATTGGGTCTTGTTAGGAGAGCGAAATAAAGTATGAAGAGGAAGCAAGGGAAGGGATGAAAATAGCGCTTTATTTGGTGATAAGCACCGCTCTAGCGGAGCATCGCTCACTTGTTTGCACTGGGACGAGCAGGATGCTCTTTTCTGGGTRTCTGTAAGCCCCCCACTCTGGAGGAAGATGCTCCTCACGTCTCTGACAGAGGCAGGAGCCGGTTCCCGGGCATGGTTATGCACAAGGCRTATCTGGATTGCCCCAAGCTGCATTCGGTGTGCAATTCGGTACCGGGACAATTAGCTAAATCCCAATTGAGAGGGTGAAGGAAGCAGAGAGGACAGCCCGCGTGCTGCCAGCCGTGTGTTCCTGTCAGCGTGACAGGCCTTGCCTCACTTCCAGACCCCTGGTTGGGTTTTCTGGCCTGGGGACCTAAGGTTAAGAACCAGTTTTAACTGCCATTTGAGYGCAGCAGATACGCGTTGCTAACTGTGGAGAGCAGCTCAAAGGCTTCAGTTCTCTCCTGTAAGGTTTCCCACCGCTTTATCATATCACTCTGGCCATTTTTGGGGCAGCGCAAACCACAAAGCCACAAACAGTCACAAACTGGTACCGGGAAGTGCCGGGGCCAGCCACGAATGCTGTTACAGCAGTGGGTGCCCCGCATTATCAGCGTCTGTATCACACGTTGCCCAACGTGGGACCTGGGGCAGCGGCCGGGCAGCTCGTCACGATTCCCGCACTGGGGAACCCTGTGGCCCTGTCCCGGCTGGAACTCTCAAGACGGAGAGAACGCCGCGCACCCACAGCACGAATTTGTCTCCCTTTATCGCGACGAGCACAAACGTCGGAAACGCTTGTGAAGAGGGACGTGACTCAGCTCGGGGAAACGAAGGGCAAACCAGCCCGCAGGTCTCGCTTCGCCGCCGCGGCTGACAACACGCAGCGCCGGCCTCCTACTGGCTGGCAATGCTGTCAGTCACCCTAAACCCCGCCTCTCCCCCTCTCTCGACTAGCGACAGGCCGCTACGTCACGCGCCCGGGCTGAAGCCGCCCCTGGCGCCGCCATTCCAAGAGCCGCGCCGCGCCCCCAAACGGTGGGAGTCGCTCGGTGCGCACGCGCGTTGCGCAC